GGACGGTATATGACAAGACTCCTGAGATACATAGCCGATCAATTATATAGACTAGAATCCGTCAGTTCTCACTTTTGCTAAAGTTCAGAATCTCAATTTAATAATTCTGTTAAGGGTAATAATCTCGGTTTCGGAATCTTTTCTGAGGTAAAACCTTTATTTCTTGCTACTATTTAATGGAATGTATGTCTTAACGCACTCTCCTATACTAATTCACTAATTTGTTTGTCTGCGAACTCCTTCCAGAGTTTTATAGTTAGCAGGACCAAACTTGACATGCCGATTTGTGGTGGCCAGGGGGTTTCCTTATCTATATGGCCTACTTCCCCCCCCCCCCGCCTAAAGGAGACTAAAACACACCCAGAAGGTCATCCAAGCGTATTAGGGGGGAGTGTTGTAGTGTTTTTTTTTAAGGTCGATGAACCCGAATCTGGCATCGAAATTATGTTTCTGGCCTTCATCGGGACCCTGGAAGCGCCATGTTTAAAACTATGTTTATAAACTCACTTACAAATTAGCAGGACCATATTTGGCACACGTGCTCAAGTACCAAGGACAAGTGTCCTAATGTTGTCTTTTTTTCGGATGCGAAACACCACTCCTTTTGAGTAAATATTAAAGCAATTGAGATAATGGATGAATTTGATTGGTAGACTGGGGCCTCTGTGAATCATAAGTAGGCCTCTGAATCCAGCAGCGGAGGGCTGGTAATTTATACAAGTTAGTACTGATATTGGATATTGTTTGCACACATATATATATATAACATTGATCTATAAAACATGGACGAATTCCTGAGACACCATTCCCTGGATATATGTTACAGCAGTTGAAATGGTAACAACAGATATTACTTCTTTCAACAAAATGAAAGACATTGTTAGCAAAATGCAGGTTTAGCTTTGTTATGATAAATTACTGTAATTATTATGGGACGAACGATAGTTCATATAGCTCGTAATAACCTAGAAATGCTATAATCAATATACCTTATTCGGTTTAAATTCCACCCATCCCCACCCCACAAAAACGGAGAAAATGTTCTTCTATCTCTAAAAAGTAATTTACAATGTGTGTGTTTTATATATATATATAACAGCAATTTTTTGTGATTTTCTAAAATACTACCTAACAATCTGAACTTTTATTCCAATTGAATATCGACACATCATCAATGATAGAAAAAGTTTGTTTATTCGTTAACGTAACACTAACCAGTTGGCTGAAAATTAGTTCGTTCTCTTGTGTATACACAGTCTGTAACAGTGACGTTTTTATCGCTTCTCAAACTCCAACTAATCATTCATAAGTGGTGCATCGAACCCTAGAAAGCTCGAGGTGGATATTGCTATCAAAATATTAGCCAGGAGGCGATCCTTTTTTCTCTTCTTAAATCCAGATACGTAAACAACCTCGTCACTCAAAAGCGTGACGTTTTATTTTCGTTTGTTTATGTTTTTCGAATTTTCACGTAAAGATAAACAAGGGTTATCTGTACGTAGCCGACCTAAGTTTGAAACTCGTAGGTTAGAATGAAGGTAACTAGTCAACAGCACACACCGCCAACTCTTCAGCTACTCTTGTCTGACAAAATACTAGGATTTCATTTTTATTCTTATAGCGCATCCTAAAATCTGGAGCGAGGTTTTGCTGCAACGGGACATGAACCACGAATCTTCGGATTCTCAGTCTGAGAATGCTAACCGTTAAGTCACACCTACCTACTTATTTTCGAATCATAATATCAACTATAATAAAAAATACTTATATACATCTATAACAGTTGCTAATTTTGGATTAGTAAAGGTTATTCCTAACGAATTCCACATTTTCTCAATACGATACGATAACGAGTATTTCTTTTTGATACGATATTATCCAGGTGGATATCATGTACAGAAAGTTTCCGTTTGTGAAATGGGTACTTTTAACCACGGGGCAGCATCCTTCGCCACTGTCAGACCCTAGTTTATTTCGAAACTACACTACGTCTTCTGGGCAGCATCCTTCGCCACTGTCACACCCTAGTTTATTTCGAAACTACATTACGTCTTCTTGCAAGGTCGCCGTCTCTTACCAGGAGCTTTCGGATTGCAAGGTAAATAAACGGTGTAATTCCAGTTGACAGGAAATTCAACTTCTTAATTGGCGTATCCTTCACTGGAAAACTACCACACAGTATTCCAACAACGCTGTCTGGTCGAATCAGGAACATTTTGTGAATATTGTAATTTTACCTTAATATATGTTTAAACATGACTAGGTTATATAACTTAAGAACCTAACGAAAATAATTTATTCACTGTTCATAGGAAAATCTAATAGTAATTGAATCGTGTACTTGTTCATGTAATAAATTGTCAGTAAAATTTGGGGAAATTTTATCCATAGTATAAAAAAATACATATTTCTATACATCTAAGGTTTATTCAAATCCTCGAAACCAGGGGTTTCTTGGACAGTTTCATCATTTGAGTAAAGTCTGTGTTATGGTCATTTGAAGTGACCACCGATGTAAGTTTGATAAAGTGCTCAACTGGAATAGATGAAACTGAGTGACACATCATTGGAATAAATGTTAGAATTAGTTGCTATTTTTATAAGACAATAGGTAGTACGTTAAGAGTCCCGTCATATTTCGTCCTAACATAATGATGTACAGGCTACGGGTAAGAATCCCAGTTTAAAAATCAAAGGTTCTCACGTCTCAGCAGAAGCCTTAAATCTAGGTTCTTACCACTTGCAATTCTTGAAACAAAATTATTATTTCTAGTAATATTCTCAAGTCAATATTTTACTTCTAGGAAATCTTTTTAAATCAAGATTTTATATTTTTACGATTTTTAAATCATTGTCCTTACCTCTTGCAAGATTCTTGGATTAGTTAAACATAGAGTAAACACATAAACGTTTTTCGTTTCTTCTGACAGAAAACTTATGGTTTCCTCAAGATTTCTGATTCCATATTGCAGTTGTTCAGGTGAGCGGAAAGAGAGATGCTGTAATACTGTTCCAGTAAAGTTCTTATGAAGCTCTTTCACTAAAGAACTAGTAGCTGTCAAATCTTGGAAAAAAAGTGTCCAGTCATAAGATATTAACACATGGTATCACCCATAATTCAAAAAATACAAGAGTAAGAAACATAGATTACATAAAATCATAAATAATATTCAACGTTAAACTGGTACACAG